AAGTTCGATCCTCCCTACGGATTACAGTCTTTGAATATTATATATATATATATATATATATATATATATATGAATGTACAGTTTGAGAATAAAAGAATGATAAATCACCAACACTGAGTAAATCTTCCATGAAACATATTTAGAAGAAACATTTATGGAAAAAAAAGTATTCGTAAAACTATAAACCATGCGGTTTCGAACAAAGTGATTGTTACAATAATAAAAAAATTATTATTATTAATCAAGCAGTGCACAACAAGTAACGACGCTAGATAAGTTAAAAGATAATGAGTTAGGTATGTGAGTAACTAACAGAGTGGTGCAATGACCTAAAAATAATGTTCTAATGGTTTATTGTAGCGGAAAAAGAAATAGCCTTTACAAAAGAACTTAATGGTTCATTAATAGTTGCTGAACATTTCTTACAATGTGATATTATTCGAGCGCTAACCGTATTGGGGAATCCCATTTGAATAACCACCTGATACACTCGATTTTTTAAAAACAAAGCTACCACCAGTAGCTGCTGGTATTAAGGGAGGCATTATACTACATGCCAAGTGGTTCAAAGTGGAAAGCTCAGTGATATCTTCGAAGTGAAGATAGGGGACAGGAGTAAGGCAAAGTTGCCGCCTACTATCACCCATCATCTCACTGATTCTAGTCAACTCGACTGGATCATGCAACAGAAAACTGTGACCAACGAGAACAGGGGCGAACGCCGACTAGACCGAGGAAAAGACACTATAACATTTGAATTTCGCCACGAATGATTTATGTCTTGTCGCACAAACTCAAAGATGTACAGGCGAAAACTAACAAGTTGACAGAAGAGGCAGGGTGAGACAACGAAGACAGGACTTCCTTCAGGCGAACACAGGTGATGAGGATACTCAACCAACAACAACAACAACAAGCACCAATCACCATCAAATGGAGAAATCTAAGGGAACTTGTCTCTTTCACCCACCTACCTAACCACCCACCCACACAGCATCGTTTCAACTACAGGCGGCACATGCACAGCACACATGAGGATGTCAAAGCAGCCAGGATCGGAAAGACAGTGAGACATAGACCCTCATTAATCTGAAGTGATCAGTGTGGAGATCTAATCCACTCCACTCCACTCCACTCAGCATGAAGCGTGAACAATATCCGAATTTTCAACACTTATTCAGTCGAATCAGTCACTGCTTCCATGTGATGGTTCACAGATTTGGCGCCTTACTAAAAGCATTTCGAAGAAAGAAACTGCAGACATACATCACATGAACAGCTGCCACCTACGCTCGCTCAGTCGATTATGATATTGAAGATGGAGGTCAGATGGACAGAATAATAAGAATAAGCAAGGCGGAAGTCTAGCTGGCTGACTGAATGGCGACGAACCAACCAACAACCTATCACCTAACAAATATGCAGAGGACGAAAGTGGAGATGGGTTTGACTAGACTGGAGAATGACTGAGAAGACCATTTGGTGGTATCACACACCAGGTCAGGTCAGGCCGTCGAGTGGAACGCAAATGGGAAACGATGAGTTTTACGTCCGAGGATGAGGAAGAAATGAAAGCTTGTGGCAGTGGTGGGGTCGGGTTGAAAAGACTACAGAGAAGAGAGTGAAGTGGGGAAGTGCTACCGAGGCTGTATGTTCCACTACAAACCCAAAGGACAAACAATAATCATACTTTGAAACCATATTCTTCTTAAAAATACAAGAGATTTATCAATAGGTGTTTCATCTAACCTCATTCACAATTTTGCTCATTGGTGAAGAAGTGTTTATTCATTATCATGTTGAGTGTAAGGAGTCGGTTGGTGGAAATCCCTTCCTTCCAGCACCATATTTTCTTAGCACTGGTTAAGAGGAAGACGTATCCACAATAACAAAGAAATGCATTTCCTCCCTGGGTGGTTCAAACATACATCACTCGGTAGTGAAGTTGAAGAGTTTGCCAATAAGTTATTCAGATCATAACTGATACCCTGTAGACGTGAGTTACATGGATAAACAAGCTACTAATGTAATAAATAAGTTCTCTACACTAACCAAAAATACAGTGCACCACTAAGTCATGCTACTTAGCTTGCTTTAATCGACGGATTCCAATCAATACTGAGCACAGAGAACTTGATGGCAGCTATGTACGTTAAAAATCTTTTCACTCCAGTATGTTTTACAGTTGCTCTTCTTCTGATTGTGGTCATTTCAACCAATCTTTGAGGAAACATTCGTCTACTGATCAAGCTCTGCTTCTATACCTCATGAATAGTTCTTGATATAAAGTATGCTTTTAGGGATTGAATGTTCACCTGGTTGTATGTGGTGGTGAGATATAAAAGGAATGCAAACTTTTATCAAACAAAAATAGTTGTTGAAAGGTTAGCCCGAATAAGTGGTCAAAACCATAGCTTGGTTACGCTAAATGAATGTAAAAACTTCTTTGATATCTTTGCTTACATGTTTCAAAGACGTTATCTATATTCTCTGGAGTAATTATGACTGAGAAAATTAAAGAGTATTATATTAAAGAATAGTACTTTTATAGTGATACTAGATGGTGATGGAATATAAGTGAAAATCTGGGCTGTAGAGGGATTTTAACAAGCGACCACCGAATTACTGTTCCCAGTGCTCTACTGACTGAGCTACGAGAACCGACTGCTAATCAGATTTTTATTTCACTCCAATAACCAAGAGCTTTTGCCCAACTACCGTATGAATGAATTCGTGATGCGCTACTGTTGCTTGAAAGTATTCACACTGGCAGCCTAATCGAGACTTCTCATCCCAATCCATATCCGAGTCGGAGAGGAGGACCGTCATATCTGAGATAGTTGTGGTTTGGTAGGTATGGGTTGCTTCCGAATCGGGAACCCATAGGTCCCTAGTTCGAATACTACTACGGTCTATATTTCCACTCCACTTTCAATTACCATCCAGTATCAATAGAAGTCTGTCAAATCAGATAGTCGAACTGAGAATAGTATTTGATCAAATCTCAGTTTATTTATTAACACTTCAAAAGAAATTTATTCTACAATTCTAGAAACTAACAGATTTGAGGAAGTTGTGGAGCAAAAAGACACTAGACAGCATCCTCTTCCAAGACTATAGTCCTTTCAGTGTAAAGCGTATTGACCACATCTTCCAGTCAGAGAGTCATCTTTATGCAACAGTAAAGCAAATAAAAAGTAATCTTTGCATAGACGCTTCTTAGTCTTATAACATTTTTGATATAGAGCAAAATGTCATTGGAGATCATGTATTGCTACTGATGAAGTGGGAGATTGAACCAAGTCATTACCCATCGATACCATTAAAAAACAGCCAATTGATGCAATGAGCCTGACTGAACCAATAAAATGCTTAGCATCTAGTATTCAATCTATTGGTCCAACCTACTGATAATAACTTCTGAAAATTCCAATAAAGAAACTCGAGGAAGTGAAAAATATGCACTTTCAAGGAGTTCACAACTCTTTAAATAATAATTGTCATCTTGAGAAAAAGCAGGTAAATAACAATTGTCAAACTTAACCTACAAATTCCACTATTGGTAGCCCCTCAGTTTCACCATAAATGGAAAAGGCGGTAAGATGACAGATTTATCCCAACATCAGAATATATACAAAATACAACGGCTTGTACCTATATGTATATTGGCTTGGACTATTTGTAGACTTTTCTAGAAGTCCAAATTTTATTGACTTTGCCTTTTCAAACACAACTTCCAGGCAAAACGATTGATTGTGAGAGGCTTCACGGGTTTAGGGCTTCTTATGAAGATTCTTATTGGACAATATAACTGTTTCATACCTTTTGGCACTCATCATCAAGTCATATCTGCAACCAAAGGGAAACCTGCATCACGCAGTGATGAAGTAAGCGACTCAATCCCTTATGCTGTGAATTCAATAATCAGTCCTAAGCACTAAAGACTAGAGGATTACGTTGGCCATCCACTGTCGACCGACTGGTGTACAAACCATCATGTCTGCATAAATAGTATCCAAGCCTGACAGACATCTGATTTTTACAGTCCTGTCACCAATCTCACCATTCTTTGTTTCTAAATGGTAGTAAAGTTTTCCATATCTCTGGGATAGGTGTTGAATCATTTCAATCACATATATTGAGCGTTGATTCGATCAACAAAGATTCAGTGATCAATCTCTCTCGTCCCCACCTAATTATGCTGGACTTAAGTATATGGGCTTTATCCCAACCTATTGTGTAGTTGTGTGTTGATCAATGTATTGCAATAGCCGAGTTTTTTTTTCTAGGTTACTGATCCTATTTAAGTCTGTCATGCTATATTTGTCATTTCAACTATCCCTATCTCAATCAGAATCTAACTGAATTAGAGAGAGAGAGAGCATCATATTGACTATCTGAGATGTGGTTTGGGAAACTAGTATTTATACTGAGTGATAGCTGAAGATGAAATTAAAATTCAGGTCTTAGTGATTTACTTTCACACATTTATGATAAAGTCGAAACATTCTGAACTAATTTTAGTGCAAAAATAGGAAAGACATTATAATATCATATGATGTTGCTGTAGACAATTAATTCTAAGTGTTGCTAAGGTCACTTGAGAAGTATACCCGAAGATATTCAAATTCAATCCTATAATATATGGAGTTGTAGCCTATCGGTTTAAGAAGTCGACTATCAACTTAGGAATAACGGGTTCAAATGTGAACTACACCACTAAACGCTATTTTGGCAGCCAGTTAGCTTGGACAAATTATGTGTATATGGTTGGTGAGTGCATTTTGACTCCGATTTTCAAAATCTAATAAAAATACGTCAGAAATTACATATGATTACTTATATACTTATAACCTAATATCTAACATTTAACAGCCTCATAAGGACAACATAAACAAAAAAAAGGACGAATAAGTTATCTATACAGATGATTATTATTATTATAAAAATTCCTAACAGAAAAAGAAAACAAAACATATTTTATATTCACATAAGCTTACTATTAGGTAAATTATCACGTGCACTAAATGTTTCATGTTTTTTAACAATATTTGCCTGAGGACGTTTACTTCCATCTACATCGGAGGCACTTCGGGATAAATTAGAAGACGGACTACTGAGGAGGGCAAAAGATAGACGATGAACTAAGAGGAAACAAAGAAGAAAGTAGACAAAAACAAACAAAATATAAAAGTCACAGAAGAAATTTACCGGTGACTATGAACTAGTTAATAAAATTCAAAATATAAACGCTGGTAATGCCCAAATTCTAAGCTTCAGATTATTACTATTTATAATTTGTCCCTTCGGTTTCCAGTGGAACATACAGCCTCGGTAGCACTTCCCCACTTCACTCTCTTCTCTGTAGTCTTTTCAACCCGACCCCACCACTGCCACAAGCTTTCATTTCTTCCTCATCCTCGGACGTAAAACTCATCGTTTCCCATTTGCGTTCCACTCGACGGCCTGACCTGACCTGGTGTGTGATACCACCAAATGGTCTTCTCAGTCATTCTCCAGTCTAGTCAAACCCATCTCCACTTTCGTCCTCTGCATATTTGTTAGGCGACAGATTGTTGGTTGGTTCGTCGCCATTCAGTCAGCCAGCTAGACTTCCGCCTTGCTTATTCTTATTATTCTGTCCATCTGACCTCCATCTTCAATATCATAATCGACTGAGCGAGCGTAGGTGGCAGCTGTTCATGTGATGTATGTCTGCAGTTTCTTTCTTCGAAATGCTTTTTGTAAGGTGTCAAGTCTGTGAACCATCACATAGAAGCAGTGACTGACTCGACTGAATAAGTGTTGAAAATTCGGATATTGTTCACGCTTCATGCTGAGTGGAGTGGAGTGGAGTGGAGTAGATCTCCACACTGATCACTTCAGATTAATGAGGGTCTATATCGCTGTCTTTCCGATCCTGTTGTTGTTGTTGGTTGAGTATCCTCATCACCTGTGTTCACCTGAAGGAAGTCCTGTCTTCGTTGTCTCACCCTGCCTCTTCTGTCAACTTGTTAGTTTTCGCCTGTAGATCTTTGAGTTTGTGCGACAAGACATAAATCATTCGTGGCGAAATTCAAATGTCATAGTGTCTTTTCTCATACTATGAAGAAACAGCTATCGAGTGTTCACTGGTTTTCAGTGATTCTAACTTAAAAGCTAGGTTAGTTGGTTATGATAATGGAAATGCACTGAGGAACCTTGTGCAGATTTGTGCAGTAGATGAAGCAGGGGTCAAACCCACGACCTATTCGTTGAAAGTAATCTCCCTGAAACAAATAAGCCACAGCTCTACATTTGGTTATTCAATTGGAAGAGATACGAGTGCGTACTGTGAGTGTACATGAGACAGACATGTACACCTTCATGGTTAACGTATTATCGGTTGCATCAAAAGAAGATGAAAATCAGGTTTGAAGAAACTAGTTGTCAAGACATGCACAACACATACACACATATACATAACAAATCATTATATGAAATGCGTAAAGAAAAACCACACAGTCAAACTCACAAAGAAGAGTGAACTAAGTCTTTGCAAGAACTAGGGCAGAATCATACTCCTGGAGAGACTAAAAAATGCTCTGGATTCAAAATTACGCCCGAAACAGGCTAGCTGGCTGCGACAAAAACAAATGATGTGCGGAACAAATTGCAGCGCTACACTACGCATCATCACAGAACACCGCATACAATGGCAGTCAACTTCCTACCTCAACTTCACCGACTTTGGAAAGGCTTTCGATAGCGTCGACTGAGAAGTAATTTGGCAGGCAGCTGCTTCAACATTACGCTTTTAGTGCCACAAACCCCTATCAAACACATTCAACGGCAGCAATATACTATATCATGCTACATGCCAAGTGATTCAAAGTGGAAAGCTCAATGATGTCTTCGAAGTGAAGATAGGGGACAGGAGTAACACAACGTTACCGTCTACTATCACCCATCATCTCACTGATTGTAGTCAACTCGACTGGATCATGCAACAGAAAACTGTGACCAACGAGAACAGAGGCGAACGCCGACTAGACCGAGGAAAAGACACTATAACATTCGAATTTCGCCACGAATGATTTATGTCTTGTCGCACAAACTCAAAGATGTACAGGCGAAAACTAACAAGTTGACAGAAGAGGCAGGGTGAGACAACGAAGACAGGACTTCCTTCAGGTGAACACAGGTGATGAGGATACTCAACCAACAACAACAACAACAAGCACCAATCATCATCAAATGGAGAAATCTAAGGGAACTTGTCTCTTTCACCCACCTACCTAACCACCCACCCACACAGCATCGTTTCAACTACAGGCGGCACACACACAGCACACATGAGGATGTCAAAGCAGCCAGGATCGGAAAGACAGCAAGATTGACCCTCAATAATCTGAAGTGATCAGTGTGGAGATCTAATCCACTCCACTCCACTCCACTCAGCATGAAGCGTGAACAATATCCGAATTTTCAACACTTATTCAGTCGATCAGTCACTGCTTCCATGTGATGGTTCACAGATTTGGCGCCTTACTAAAAGCATTTCGAAGAAAGAAACTGCAGACATACATACATGAACGCTGCCACCTACGCTCGCTCAGTCGATTAGATATTGAAGATGGAGGTCAGATGGACAGAATAATAAGAATAAGCAAGGCGGAACTCAGACCTGGTAAGGAACCAACCAACGACGTATCGCCAAACAAATATGCAGAAGATGAAAATGGAGATGGGTTGGAATGGATACACACTGAGGAGACCGTTTGGGGACATCACATGCCCGTTCGGACCAGGTCCTCGAGTGGAACCTAAATGGGAAACGAAGAGTTGGGGGTCCTAGCTGAGGTTGACATGGAGGAGATCGTATGAGGAAGAAGTGAAAGCTTATGGACAGTGGTGATGCTGGGTTGAAGGGACCGCAGAGAAAGAGTGAGATGGGAACATGGTACTGAAGCCTCATGTTCCAGTAGGAACCTACGGGACAAATAACAATGAAGGTAGGCAGCTTTGATGAACCAACTACCCAGAGTTTGTTTGTTTCTATCACTTGTTTACATGATACTGAAAGAAAAGAACTTGGAATTGAATACCATCTGAAAATGAATCCACATAATAAATATTTATACTACAGAAAAGACTTACAGTATTCATGAAGCATATGAAACATTTGATCTAGATCACTATGAGCATCAAGATTTGAAATGAAAGTATGAAGTCTGAGTGTATCCATAGTAGCTACATACTGTGTGCTATTATTATTCAATACTGTAGGATTAACAGTAGGAGTAGATGAAGTGTTGTCTATTTTTGTACTTCGACGAACGGTATTTTGAAGCACTGATGATGGAAGTGGTTGTGGCTGTGACACTATAGTATTAGGTGTTAACACATTCATTTGAGTTAGACGTTCATTAATTAATACGGATGAAAGAAATTCCCAAATGTTCCAGAATTGTAAACGATTCTCATTCAATTGGTACAATAGTTCAAGAATACTTTCAGTACGCTTCTGTTTCTCAGTAATTTCATCACGAGCTTTAGAGAACTCTTCAGCTGTAAGGTAAAGCAATAAAATAAAAAAACTGACCTGATGTAAGTTTGATATTTCAAGTTATTATTCATTGTAGACTGACATCACTTAGAGGAACAAAGGAAACCTGAGAGCACTGGACAGCTGTTTCGTCCTAATATGGGACTCCCCAGCAGTGCGCACCCACGACCTTCAGGTTCCGTGGCCAGAGCCTTACCATTAAGCCACTAGGTCAGAATCCAATGCTCCATATTTCCAACTTCTGTTAGCTCACGATATAGCGCAACCACCAACCAATGTCATCGTTGAGTAACTGGCCTCACGACCATCAGGCTTTGACTCCACCGGTCACGACTTCTCATTGGAACTTCGGGAGTACTTCTCGAAGATAGTTAAAAAAACTGTAAAAGTCATCTATTTCAGAATTTTAAAAATTCTCATTGTCAAAATTAGAAGAAGACATATAAGCGAATAATATTGTTTGCAATTAGCTCTCATCAGGCTTTACGCTAATATACATAAGTGTTCTCTTATATAAAGCATTAAATCAATCATAGCGGATTCTACCTACCGTGATGGCTAGGAGGGGACAATTCAAATCAATACGAAGTCTAACCTTTGCTTATCATTTTCTAGTCGGCCGATAATTGTTGCTCAAGTAAAAGATAGGCTACTCAGTTCTGCCACTTCTATGTTCATTTATTAATTCATCTGCTCCTGTGAAGAAAGCCATATTGAGTGTACAACTAGGCAGCTTAACAAACGTGTTGCTGAGCACCTACCATCATGGCTATGAAAGGGACAAGTAAAGTCAATACGAAGTTCAATTCTGTCACATTTAGTCGACAGTGGTCATGTAACAGACAAGACCAAAGCGTTCAAGATCATCTACCGCATCCCACAAAATCTGTCGGATAGAATTCGCACTCGCACTTTACATATAGCTGAGGCTATGGGAATTAGAAAAAACAAACTTAGTCTCAGTGTTCAGAAAGGGTTTGTACAGTCTTTATCTCTCTCTGCCTTGGCCAGAGAAAATCTAACAAATAACTTAAAAGATAAATTCCATTTTCATCCTGTACACCCCTTTCACAAACATGTTTATTTGCTTAGACTTTGATTATCTACACATTTCATTCTTTAGTTTTACGTAACTTCTATTTTTCTAAGTTTTGATCGACACTGTTTAAGGATTTCCAGTACCATGCTGTGCCCATTGCTCTTATCATCATTGAGATAACTATTAGTATTATGATTGTCTAGATTTCCACTATTCAATGCTTCATTTCCTAATTACCACACAGTAAACAATCCACCATAATTGATTGGATGTTTTATATATGAGGAAATTAATGTATATTAGCGTAAAGCCTGATGAGGGCTAATTGAAAACAATATTCTTAGCTTAAATGTATTCTTCTAAGTTTTCTATTGTAAAACTCCTAATGATTACCGTGAGTGATTTCATAACTTATATAAAAAAGTCATAATGGGTGCATACTGCTGAGGAGTCCCATATTAGGACGAAACAGATGTCCGCTGCTCCCAGATTTTCAATGGTTCCCCAAATGATGTCACAGTTCATGATGAAGACTACCTCTAAGTTATTATGAATGAAAATTCGGATTTTCTTTATCATAGATCACCTTTGTGATGAATATTTTCTAGATATCAATCCATTAGGGGGGAGTTTTATTAAACTAATTGGTATGAATAATTAATAAATGCTTATCTACTATCCAAGTGATATACAGTGGTTCCTAAGTGCAAAATTATTGGTCAGTTAAAATTACATTGCCCTTATATGGATGATAACCTTTAGAATAATCAAAAATGAGAATGATAAGAATTTTGTTCTTAATAAGTTTGATAGTGTTCATCCGATAATCAGATTCAATACATTCTACCCTATCTCACTCAACGTAGGCTTAGGTGAAAGCATAAGTGATAGGGTGGAAAAGCTTACTAGTAGACTAGAAAATCTACAACAAGAAATTAGATATATCAAGAATACCTTGCGTCTCAATAATTACCCATCTAAATTTACCAATATATTCATAAGAAATCGAAAGAAAAATTTTAACAGTAGTAGTAGTAGTAATACAAGTGTTATTCATAATAATAATAATAATAATGGTGACAGAGTTGAGAGAGAATTCAAAGTCTCTGCTGTGTTGCCATTCAAGGAAGGCGCCTCACAATCATTACGAAGGATTCTCAATAAGGCTGTCTGAGATTAAAGTGGGTGGTATTTAAACCAACAAACTCGCTTAGAAACAAGCTTTGTAAGTTAAAAGATCTTGTCGATCAAATTAAGCAAAATAATCTGGATTACCAAAACCCTTGCAACGATTAAGAGGTCAAATACATAGGTGAAAGTAGTCGACTAGTTAGGGTCAATTAGAACAACAGAGCACAAAAACTTAGCTAAATCAAGAGTAGTAGATACTAATAAGATGAAAAATTTAAAGAAAATCTCGGCTATAGCCCTACACGCAATCACACAGTAGGGTGGGAGATGGAGTGACGTTGTTAAAAGCTAACTTAGTTGGGTGGATGGAGGGAGAGATTGATAACCGAACCTTTGTTTATCGAATCAACACCAAATACATACAGTAATAGAAAGGATTCTGCATCTGTCCCACATATATGGAAAATTCTACCACCCCTGTCATCACAGAGAAGGAGAGAGAATTAGGACTATATAAACTCTGTCTCCATGTTGTGGAGTTACCTGATATGAATCTGGAGAATAAATTGTGTCCGAAACGTGATCTAGTCAATGATACTGTTTCTTCACTGTGTATAACATTTCTAATAAACAGACTAAAATGGAATTACAATCAACCGCAGTGCCCAAGTTTTACTCCTATTAGTAATCGCTGCTGCATTATCGAAACTGTAACCAATATGTAGGTTAAGTGTGAACAGTAAAAATTATTTTAGAGCATTTCCATCAAATTTTGTAATAGTGCAAACCATTAATGAAGCAACTATTTATCTGCATATTCGAATCGGAATGTACTCAGCAACCATGTGCACATCCATGCAGTAGACAATGAACCAAACCGAATATGTGACTGACGTCTAATGATACTTCTACTTGATTACCCTAACCGCAGCAGTTGTGGCAGTGCTCGTACTCATTAGTTGAAAGTCAATTCCTCACAGCTCCACTACATATTCAATTTCCTTCAAATAAAACCTTTGTATAACTATGAGTCTTTTTGTTTTTTTCATGGTGGTTATGAGATGGCATAGACTATTCTCATAACCTTTCATTTGATGATTCAACCCAGGATAGAGAGAAACGACATATGATGTTGCATTATCGTGCTGGTTCATTCCAGGCTCGTGAAACATTTATTAATTCAGACGCCTGGTCTTCATTTTTTCTACTGCTAAGGTTTAAAAATTCTGATGTGTTGTGGATCGGTTTTTGACTAACGCTACGCCCCAGTCCTCATCTTTTCGTAAAAATGAACGGAATATTTTAGTAGACATGTGTATTATTTGGTCATAGAGGTTGAACTGATGAAATGCACATGGATGTAGGAGAATCAAGCAGTCTATCTTTATTTCTTGCACCTAGAATTTAGCGGTTGTAGAAGATGGGACATAATCCACTTGCTGTTAATGCTCTTTTTATCCGTTGTGTGATGATAACTTCATAAACAATGTCACTCTGGAATTCCAGCCTCAAGAAGATTTGCTTTTTAGGAACTGTTAACATTCTTGTCTTAACCTTCATAACATTCAAGTACTTAGTTGCCAACTTTACTGAATAACCATTCCTAGTAAACAGGTGAAAAATGGTGACGAACTCTTCCTGTATAGCATCGGCTGTGGTGTGATATGCTAAATATTCTACTAAGTTCCGCTTTTGCTTTAGGGGTATGGCACAAAGCAAGAAATTGTACGGAATTGCTAATGTTGGGTTTCTATACATCGTTTCAGGTTTCCATCTAGCCTCACCAGCAGAATATCAAGCAATGAGATACTGTCATTTCTCTTCTCATCTACTGTAAATTTGTAATTCTATTTTAGTCTGTTTATTAGAAATGTCACATCATCATTATCATCAGTATCAACATAGGACCAGGCATTACTGCGTAACAGTCCGAGTTGCCACAACTCATAACACTACATCAATTACAAGGGCAGTGAGGTGGAAGATGAAGAAAAGAAAATTCACTCGAAAGAAATATAAAGTACTAAAAGAGAGAAAGGAAGGATGAGAAAATAATGAGATTCGGTATAGCGTCGTTAAGATGAGGATAATGTGTGTGTATATACCTGCACCACTGACATCGGTTCTCAACCATATCACCTAGAGTCAGTCTCCAACCACTCGTTTCCCTTTTCGCGCTGACCCCAACCACCCAGTCTCCATCGACCCACAGGGCTCAAACCAACAGTCAAACACTTCATACATTGATGTCATGTTTTAGTCTGGCTGAGAGCCACCAGCCTTTTTCCAGCCTCAACCTACTTCAACCAACATTGTCCGACCAGGCAGATGGCAAGTAAGCATACCTTACACATATCCCAACCATCTCAGTTGGTGAAGGTTCACAACCACATCAACTGATTTACCTCTTCTCCTTGGAACTCTACACCTGACCTGCCTTACTCATGTGGTGACACCATGGAATACGGCCTATACTACGAAGGCAATGGTGGTCAAATACTTGAATCCTTCTCATGTCTTCCACTTTCAATGGTCATGTTTCATAACCATGTGGTCAACCACCAGGGCTGATCCCACTTTCCACACAAGTGAATTGGTCAACACATTCAACCACTACACTCTCTATTTTCAGCCGAGGTACTGTTGAAGACCAATCGTGGAGCAACAATTTGAATTTGGGTAGTGAGAAACGCATCCCAAACATTCTCAAATTGCCACACGAAGTGTTCAGAAGACTTTGCATTTTATCAGAGTCTTAACCTAAGAGGACTATGTCATCTGCGTATTCTAAGTCTAACGAAAATTCTCACGCGATTAGGTCAACCTCTGTGTAGTCAGGTGACGAGGGGGAGACCTCCATAAGAATATCTATGATGAGATTTAGAATTGAGAGTGGGGACCGTTGACAGAGACCGCTCAACAAGCATATCTCCCCGGATATCTCACCATAGAATCTAACACGCTCACAAGTATTCGAGTAGACAGCCATCAATAAGGTGATGGGTTATAGTCTTCAAAAATACTCCATCCAGTTCCAGTGGCTGATGTTTTCAATCTCAGTTAATTAATTATACGGAATGACCTCTCTGATATGAATTAAATATCTTAGCGGAATAATCAGTTGATAAGCGATAACGCTCGATGAATGGGTAATGGGTGATTTAAACATGCAGTAGGATAAATTAGTCTTTTGTCTACCTTTAAAAAATTTCCATTGACTGCGCCTTCAGGTGATAGTTAGAGATGTAAGCTAACCACTTATGACAAAAGAAACATCCAAACCGTTTTTCTTGCTAATTTAGAATATCGAACACGTTACTCTACTGTTACCACCGCTGCTACTGAAGAAGGATATTACAAGAGTACATTTGTACTTGATTCAATAACTAAATTTTATAGTGAAACACCTGAAGACTTCTTTGTACAAAGCTTCCTGGAAGAGATTCCAAACATTACTAGTGGAAAAAAAAACTAGTCCCAACAAACTTACATAAACTTTCAAATGTATCTGTCTGTTCACGCCATTGAGCGAAACCATCATTGAAAACTGTCTCCCATCTTGATAATTCATCCACTGTTGCACAACGGAATAGTGTTAACGCAGTAGCCGAGTGTAAAAGAATGTAGAAACCAAAGCTACCTTTCTCCATTGATTTTCTAAAATATCCATAAACTTTACCCCACCACAGAATAGGAGGCTTTTAAGAAGAAGTCAGAAAAACACAGTTACTATTTAGATCAATGAGGCAGTGAAGTACCAAAGTTATAGAAACGAATTTCATATGTTAGAAAGTAAGATAATGTACACTAAGTAGTGAGACTCTCAATCATGTAAGATGTTGATATACCCTTGTGGTGTTTATATATATATATATATATATATATATATATATATATATATATATATATATATATATATATATATATATAGACGCCTGAACAATAACATTAGGCTTCAGCCTTGGCGATCGCTCGGCTTTTCGAAAACAGAAACGAAGCGGCAAAAACGATAAAGGTTTACTATCGAGGCGAAGGTGTACAAAAACTATCGGTTTATATACATTTGTTGATGGTCTTCTACATTTTTCTAGAGAGCTCTTTAACCAATCTGAGTCTCACACGTATGATAACGCAGTTTCTCGTGAACGTTCGACATGTTATGATTGATTGTGAAGGTTTTTCAGCGATTTCCAGATTTCTTTGGGGAATCTAGAGTATATTGTTGCACTCTATAACAGATATAGAACATTTTTCTAAGTATAATATCCTATCTACTAAAAATAATTTAGGAGTGAATAGGTTTCAGTAAAATGACGAATGAGATCAGTTAACGGATGTCCGGATACCTGGCAGATATCATAAGCTGTTAAAGGCTAGTTAGGATATCAATAATCACAGCATAGTAAGGCAACAGGGGGAAATTGCATAGTGAACATTAGAATTCAGCTTTGTCAATAGACTGCTGAATTTCAATTATGGCATGACAAATCTTGTATGAAACAACAGAACTATTCGAAAGCTTAAAAACCAAGTCAGTTATATCAAGGCATCCGCATTAGGAGTCCATATGCCAACAGAAGTTGATCAATCCAGTCCAGTATAAAAACTGCAAATGAAGATTAGCCCAAGAAAACAGATGAGAGGTACGATCAAGCTAGCTATACCAGTTACACACATAACAACTAGATCTTCCCTAATTCAGGTACATTTTAGTCAGATGGGCAAATGCAACGTGTTCAAAACCTTACTCACTCAATCCTGAGTTTCGATTTACAGATTGCTTAGCCTCCTAGTTAGGCATTGAATATCAACTATCGATTGTCTTTTATCATAGAACGTAAGTAAATCCTTTGTACACCTGTGATCAAAACACTGCAATTGATTCTTTTTTTTACTTTTAACGTCCACTTCTCACAGCTGTATAACTGAACAGAACAGACTGCAGTTCATTATATACGTCGGATAACTCAACAATCAGCGCCACAGATGATTCAAGTCAGCGAAGATTGAAAGCACCTTCTGTATCCAAGCTGAGATTTCGTCAATAGCCAAACCGTCCAAGTAGATGCAGTCTCTCAAGTATGTGAAGTTGTTCACACACTCAACTACTTCACTCCTATCGTTAAACTGGGAGTACTTATCAACCAGTTCTAGAGCATCATCTTACATTTGATAGGTGTCAGTGAAACACATCCCAAGGATATTCAGGTGTCTGCTCAATCCTTTTAGAAGACTCTGCATTTTGTCAGCGTCTTCGCCTAGCAAGACAATGTTATCTGCTTACTCTAAGTCAGCTAGGTGTCTTCCAGGGTGTAGATAAATCCCTAGGAAGTTGGACTTAACTAAGGTTATATCCAATATTACGTCTATAACGAAGCTAAATAGGAACGGAGACATCGAGCATCGCTAGGGGACACCACTAGTCATCAATTCGGATGAAAACTGTCCATAAGCCCTTACACGGCTGCGTGAGTTCGAGTAAAGAGATTTGATTAGTATTATATACTCGCTCGGTACTCCCTTTATAGCCAGATACTGCCACAACACCCATCAGTCGACAGAGTCAAATCCTGCCTTCAGGTCAAGAAGTACGGCGTGTTGGCCGTTGGCCAGTAAGTGTACCCGTGTTTCAGAATTTGTCGGAAGGTGAAAATCTGATCTATGCATTCTCCTCCACGTCAGAAACTTGTCTGCTTCTATAGAGTTTATTGTTCTCGAGCTTTAGTTATGCATAAGAGAACGATGGATCAAAGGATAAGAAGCACGATATTGGTTACACTGATACCGCTATAGTTATCAAAGGAAGAATTATACCCCTTCTTACAGACTAAAATAATCTTAAGCACACAGGTCTGATGAGACCACCTCTGAATCCCATACTCTAACAAGTATCTCCGTAATTCAATTCAGTATTTTTCTACCTCCATTCTTAAAACCATTGGATGGCAAACCGTCAGATTCTGCTGATTTGTACGTTCCAGGTTAGAAACAGGTTTCTTAACATCGAAAACAGTTGGAGGAACAATATGTGCGTTTCATCTGTATTCCAACTGGGTGATGGGAAACTGGAGCGTAGAATTGTGCTTTGAGGCCTTCCACCTAACGTTGAAGCTCCTCTTTCCTCAGAGGTTACCAGCGTCCCATTCAATTCAAAAATAGTCTCGTTAACCATCTTCTTCTGACCGGTAACCCCATGGTTAGAGATACCATGGTTCTGGTGAGCGATGCCTGCTGTTCGATTTGGTATAGGGTTTGGGAGTTGAAAGTCCCACATTGAAATAGAAACCTGAGTCTTAGAAGACTGAGGTTTCGATGACTGTGATCACTGACGGTGGTCGCATAGTGAGAGATTGAGAAAGTTCCAAGAGGCCTAATACTGGTATCAGGAAGTGAAGGCAAAAGAGACAAAGGTAAGAAGCATAGATTTTGTTCGATAAAATCTTGTATACTGTTGGAAGAATTCGGGCAGTTGACACCTCTCAGCTTCCTGCATCGTTAGAGGTTATTTCTTCTTAAGGTACCTGAAAGAGAAAAGGATTTGTGTGACCACAGAGTCCATGGGAAATCAGCTTGAGGCCTGTCACAAACAGCTTTCTGAGGATTGTTGGTCTGGATAGGAAACACCTATACTGGTGGCACCAGTATGATGCGGGGTGGAGATGAGTGTGCTATTTCTGCAGTCAAACTGTTCCACAATCCCCTCCCTAGCAGGAAGGCAAGGGAGCATTAGGATTGCATTGCTAGTCATCCGTGCGAAGCACCTTACTGCCATCACACCCCATCCAGCCAGCAGTAGGAGTTCGCCCTCAAACACTAAAACGGTAACCGGTTTTCGTCTTATCACCATTCACGTGACCTATAATCTGTCAAATGAATACGTCATCAGTGGGTTAAGGTGTGTGGCAAAACAAAACTGGAAAACTTCATGTCTTACTAGATAAATTTTACAACAAACTTCCTGTTAATAAGAACTAGCGACAATTGTTCTAGAAAACATACCATTTCCGTACCACGAAATAACTGGTATCGATTTGAGTCTGGTATTTTTTGAAGCATAAAAAAGCAACTTTTCAAAGCTACACCTTCAACCTCGTAGGACGTGGTTGCTATAAAAGAGTATAAAAAGAAATGGGGAAAAAAAACTATAGATATAACGAAAGGATAAAAAAAGGTACTGAGTCTTCAGGTACACTTTCTTGCATATCCACACTGCCACAAATCATTGGATATGCAGAGATATATACAGAAAGGAACAAGAATGCATCATGAGTAATATCCCAAATGTGTTCATCGGTGCAGTAACAAAGTAGAGACCATCTTAAATTTTGGGCTACCATAAGCTTCTCATTGAATATATTTCATCAAATTACTTCCTTTTTTACTCGATTTCATCACTGAAATGTCAGCAAATCGTAAAGCATACTCCCGTGCATTTTTAAAACATCTTCAACCCACTGTTCGACAAGTTAGTAATAAAATTATGAGAAAGTATCACACTAGATGGGGATAGGGCTCCTGGGAAGACATAACTACGGCACACAATTATTGTAGCAATATTTACCTGGGACTGCGAAAATCTTCATGCTGACTTGAATGAACTGCGATCGCCAAACCTAGAGCTGCTTTTCAGCAGCAGAAGATAGAAGAAAGCTATAGCATGATTCTGTGCTACATCCGATGTCACCAATCACCGCGTTGCCTGATCTCTCGGAACTCGACCACAGAGTTGTGATGAACTAACAGATGCTAACCCGATACAACTATCCTTAACCTCATGGCACCATGTCATACACTGACCACTCCTCTGCTTCTTCCATCCACTCCCTGGGTTGGCAAACAATAAACAGTATGGAAGCCGTTGGGACGACATCCATAACACGTGTCCAAACCACTGAAGCTAGTGTTTCAAGATGACTTTATTCATTGAATGAAGATCTACATCATGCCCAAACATGCTGTCGTTCCTCACAACTACTTACATGGGATTGCCACCAGATACGAGCAATCCAACAAAGATAACGACGATCGAAAATTAAAAGTCGTGACAAATTCTCAGTTCAGAGATGCCAGGTTTCGCAAGTGTAAAGTAGAACTGCTAGCATCGAAGCGTCGTAAACCCAACGCTTTACGGTCAGGCTAACATTGCCAAGGCGCCGAAAGTGGCTCAGAGTGGGGTATGTAACGCTGGATTTCGTTATGCGGTTAGAAGCTTCATCACTTGTATCTCCACCAGTCCTCACACAAATGCCTAGATACACGAACTTTCGACTACTTCCAATGGCTCATCACCGACGGTGAATGCAGACACAGGCTCGTGCCAAATCCTGCAAAAGTACTTTCCAAAGCACATAGAGTACTTACGGACACGGGGTATAGAAATATAAAATGACGAATTTAGAAAAGAAAGTGGAGACAACAATCCATTTATATATGTGTAAGGCGTCTACATTTTGCAAGAAATTCATATAATCCTAATAAAATGAAATGTAAGTTATTTATTGGTGAAAAAGTTTGGACAAGAGAAAGTTTTTAGGAAATAAAATCACCAAATTGTTATTCATTGTAGACTGACATCAGTTGGAGGAACAGAGAAAACCTGGGAGCACTGGTCAGCTGTTTCGTCCTAGTATGGGACTCATCAACAGTGAGCACCCACGACCCTGCCAGGGACCAAACCCGCACTTACATGTATCCTTAGCTGGTTTCCTAAATTCTAACAAGAACAAGATATTTTTCATTCTTCCAGTAGTAGCTAGGCTAGATGAATATTTGAACAAAGTACACCAGTGGTAAAAAAAGAATAAATGAAACCACTTTCTTTCGCCACGCCCCACAGCCTCCCACCCCAGAAAATGTTGCAAGAAAATAGGTATAAAAAAAAACACACGATAACAAGAATTTGTTGTAATAATAATATATTGTTACATGAATGGTCAACTAACTGTGAGTACATGGTTTAAAAGGTGTATCGAATTTTAGAAACAGACAGAAGTAATGATGAGAAAAACAAAGAAGACTATGGAAACATTTCTAAACACTTTGTCTACACTCTCCTACCTGGAGACAAATATACATAAGAAAATTAACACTAAAACAGACAGCAATATAGGAAAAGAAATACGGTTTTTAGTGCCCTATTAAATTTCTTTCTATAAGGTTTAAATCTCCCAGTTTCCGAAACAAAAATGTTAAGTAGGGAAAATCATGTTAAGAAACAGGATCCATTGTACACATGTAACCATGTGAGGAATTATGGACTGTATTGATTGGTCACGGGAGTGCAACCAATTTCATGTTGTCTAGTCCAAAGTGCGGACCGAATTCTATCGATCATATTTGCAATGTGGTAACCAAGCTAGGAAGCTAAGCATCAATACATGTAAGCCAGTCCTACAGGACATCAATCGCGGCCCGAATAGCTCAGTGGTAAAGTCACTGATGCGGAATCGAATCCCAGGCGGGACATCAGTTCCGTCGAGGTTGCAGATACGCCTTGCTGATGAGTGTCAAAAAGCACGAAACTTAGGTCCAGGACTTCCCGCCGATTGCCTCCAACCAACTAACATCGACGAATTATGGACTGTTTTACAGTTCACTCGACCCTTATTAGGAAATTGGATATCACCTATATCATTTAGAATACCTACAAACAACCGAAAGTATGCCAGATCGTTTAAAGAAATGCTAAACTTCTGAACAATACAAGAACAAAGGCATTTTGTAGGGTAAGATGAGATCATTTTATTTCCTAGCTGTAAACAACCTACAAATGAAATGAAATACTAGTAGTAGTAATAATGACATGATATACTTTAAATATGTAGAAATAAATGGAGATTTGAAATCCAGGACTAACAATAAGATGGTGAGTAAAGGAGACACGGTTAATAGTTACAAATCTTAGTCAAAATCTACGGCTATTTATACACATCTGATGAGACAATAAATTCTGGACCTGTGGAGTGCCCCCCGGGGGGGGGGGGAACAAACGGAAGTCAGTGTAAAAGAAAGGATTATTAAGAGCTAGTAGGTTACCTAACTATATGAAAAACTTGAAAATAGTTGGATGATTAATATTCAGTAAGTAATTAATGAAGAGATGATCAAACCAAAAGAAAAGGGAAGACTCTACGCATACACATGTAAAAATGATATACAGTTACCAAGCTGAAGAAAGGTTTATTACAACCTCCTTCTGAGTACATAGGTCAGGTAGAAAATGTTTGACGACCAGAGCTTCTGCAAACCGTAATAAACATGGTGTTCTTTGTTTGTCGATTATCCTAGAGAATTAAGAAACATATATTTGATGTCCTGTTTCCATCAGATACCTGGCGATTGCACTCCTAAAGACCTTGCTACCATTCAGACACAGAGTTCTCGGAATACGTTCATAAAATCAAGTAGACGCCCTTCTTTCAGGTCGTCATATGTACTTCTTTGCACAATCCCAGATAAATTTATACACTATTAATCCAGTTTTTCCCTGACTCACTTACTACCTTATTGTTAATCCAGGATTTCAAATCACCATTTATACCTACATATTTAAAGTATGTTATGCTATTATTACTACTAAAACTTCATTTCAATTTTAGGATTTTTGCAGCTGATGAAAGGCCATGAAATAAAATGAGTTCATTTTATTCTGCTAATTCTTTTGTTTTTACAATATTCAAATTTGTCAACGAAACTAAATGTATGAAATGCTAAACTCTTTGTAGAGAAGTTCATCGGCTCACTTCCTGTTAGTTGCAGGGGATAGGCATTTTGTAAGTGGAAAAAATTCTACCTATTAGGTTGGAACAACGTTGTTGAACGGAAATGTTACACACTCAGTTTTTAGGCAAGAAGCACACTAGTAGAGGTTAACTAGTAACTAGAAATATTCCTAATCAAAATCCACCTTTACAATCTAAACGCTGGCGACATATACGGAGAACTGACAAAGAAATGACTCGATTTCATGCGGCGTTAAATATTCGATCTTGAAAATGATAAAATAAGTGAGTTCTTCAGAAGATATCCACTTTTTATAGAATTCGTCATTGAAACTGACTTATTAATTTATTTTTGCGGAAACCACACAGTGTTGTTATTAACTTCATTCTTTACCAAAAAATCATAAATTTCTTCAAAGACTAATACTACCTGGATAAATAATACGATCAAGAATACTTATGAAGCAACTCCTTTGAGTAACAGATTCTGATCAGCAGTATGAAAACTTGATCCAAAAATAGGAATGAGACCAGAACCTTGATATCTCACGACAAACGCACCATCACCAGCCAATTTTATAGGTTATTACATTATCACTGTTTTTAATTTGAATTCCTAGTGAAACATTGACTTCAGTAACATGTCGCCATCGCACTATCTTCCGTGCAGTCCCTCGCACCAGGCTCCACCACCACCCAGAAGCTTTCATTTCTTCTTAATACAATCTCCTTCACGTCATCCTCAGCTGGGACCCCCAACTCATCCTTTCCCATTTCAGTTCCACTCGAGAGCCTGGTCTCGCCCCGCCTCGCCTCGTTCGTGATATCCTCAAACAACCTTCTCAGTCTATGTCCAATCCAATCCATCTCCACTTTCGTCCTCTGTATATTTGTTAGGCGAAAGGTTCTTGGTTGGTTGGTTCGTTGCCTGCCTGCCAACCAGCCAGCCAGCCAACCAACCAGAGTTCCTCCTTGCTTATTCTTATTATTCTGGTCATCTTATCTTCATCTTCAGTACCAGCATCGAGTGAGCGTAGGCGGCAGCTTCTCATGTGATGTATGTCTGCAGTTTCTTTCTTCGAAGTGCTTTTCGTAATGCACCATGTCTCTGAACCATCACATGGAAGCACAGACCGACTTGACTAAATTAATGTTGAAAATCCGGATATTGTTCACGCTTTATGCTGAGTGAAGTGCAATGCAGTAGATCTCCACACCGATTTCAGATTAACTATGACCTGTCTTGCTTTTGACATCCTCATCTGTGCTGTGCGTGTGCTGCCTGTAGTTGAAACGATGCTGTCTAGGTAGGTGGAAGAGACCTATCCTGTTGATGGTGATTGGTGCTTGTTGTTGTTTCTGTTGTTGGTTGAGTATCCTCATCA